TCATGGGAGCATTGTGAGGGATGATATTTCTGGTCAAGGTGTTACCGATTGAAATGACATATCACAACTGATCTTTCCTTTCACAGGAAAGCATTGGATTTTAGGGAAATCTAATTCCAACCATGATCCCACTACCCAAAAGATAAAAGAAACTACCCTGAATGCTGTATTTACTCAAATATAAATAGCCTATGAACGATGTGTTACATCCTAAATCTGAATTAGTTAAACAGGATAGCATGCTGTTATGGAGTAAAATCATTGAAAATGACATTTATGTCCCATTATCACAGGCTTTTGTACAAAATTCTTATAAATTCTAGCCTTTCTTTTTAAAAGAAGGTTTTCAGGATTCTGCAAGTTTTAGTTGGGAAAATCTGGACTGAGTTCTCAGAAGACATTTTGGAGGGAATTAAAGTAGTGAGTGACCTCTTGAGAAAGCAATTCAGAGAGCTTTGCTTTTGTTTCTCTGGCTGTTTCCCTGTTAAAATAAAGGTAGCAGACATGCCACATTTTTAGATGCTCTTCAGACTTCAAAACATGACCCTCCTGCTTTGAAGAAGCTATTCCAATCATCTTTTGTATATTCACTGTGGGCCCTGCCATTACGCTATGCCCCTCCCTGGCTAAAAATTCACAAGACTTGTTCTTATTTGCCCTGAATTTTTCTTTTATTTGATCCTTCACAATGTCGCTGCTTCCATCTCAAAAAGTCTCAAAGCTTTGATTTGATTGCAGCTGGATTCAAGAGTACCCAAAGCCAGGTTTGATCCTGAATCCACAAAATCAAAAGTATTTTCATGTCAGTCATAGATTGTCTACTTGGCCTCTTGATAATGGACAGCAACCATGGCCAGAGACTGCCTTTCCTTTTTCCTTTTCAGTCATTTATAAGACCTGGAAACATAATAGGAGGAAGATTCCTATTGCTGAGTGTGAATAAGTGCGCTTGATTCTACTATCCATTTGCCAGTCACCAGTGACATTACCAAATGAAGCACTAGCCTGTCTTTAAAATTTCTCTGATTCTATAAATTCCATGTGAGGCACTCCACTGCAGTTCCACCACGGGGACTGTCTCTTCTAGAAGACAGACACAAGTGGGACTGTCTCTTCTAGAAGACAGACACAAGTTGTAAGATGGTGTGGGTTAGCTGGAGGTAATTACAACGTAACTGATTATCATTCAAGTTCCGAACGCTGTGCTGTTACATACATTATTTTATCTAATCCTTACAATATCTTTATTCTCATTTTTCAACCAAGTTAAGAATGGAGTTCAGAGAAGTGAAGTAATTATCCATGAAGAGGGCAAATCGGCAGCTGAGATTTAGTTAGAATGAATGCAAAGCTCCTCTTCTGTCCAATATAGCATGCTGCCTCCTAGTTATACAAGAAAAAAAATAATAATCTCATTATTCTACCACCCCATTGAGAATCTGCTGCTCTTTTGTCCTCCTTTTTCAGCTGTCTGCTTTAACCAGCTCCAGTTGAACCTAAATTAAATGTTTTATGGCTGTGGCTGCAACCCTAGTGTGGCACTAACCACTGTTCAGAGAATGAGAGGGAATAATGACAGCGCCTGAGACAGGGACATTACAGTTTTAGATGGAGACCAACAGAAATGAGACTGTGTTTTCTGTTAATGGTATGAATTTAAATAGATCGCTGAAAAATTAGAAGCTTTCTGAAAAGCAGAGACTGACTGCACCTTTTTATAATTTCCCAAATACATGTTAAATGATGCCATAAAAAAAACTCAGGTTTTATGAGATAAAATAATAAAACATGCCAAAATATGTCTGAATACTAGTAAATGTAAATGGTATATCAATAGCTACATTGGTTGTTTCGTAGAGGTATAATAAACAAGCAATAGATTGTAGTTAGGACTGTTCTTATATATATTTATTTTAATTTTGAAGGAAGTTTCAGACTGCGGAATATCCATGTGGAAAGGAAAGAATAATGAATCTAACTGGCCTAAGATTCTCAATCCCTGTCCCATTGGCAGATAGAAGAGAACAGAAGATTTTGGTGAAAAGATGTAGGTGCTATTTAAATGGGGGATTTTTGTTGTTGTTGTTGGAAACATCCAGCAACATCTGAGTGCCAAATAAAACACTTCACGGTTTCATCTCTCCTTAGAGAGCATTTTTTTTTTTTAGTTGTTTTGTTTGGGAGAAAATTGCAGTTTAAGATTTACAAACCACTTCATTTGCAAACTTCTATTACTGTAGTTTCTGTCTCTGAAAATGTTTAAAGCTCCAGGCAATGAAAAGCCATGGTATTACGGATTTTCCTTATAAAGAAAGCTCTTATTTCTATTGCAAAAAAAAAAAAATGTCTAGTGTAACAATACAATATTTATTTCTATAAATAGCATTTCCATATGTCTTACTGAGGTTTTGAGATATTAGAAAGCTGAATTTTTGAGAAAACACATTTTGCATAGTTGCTTAAATGAAATGGGGTTCAATTCTCTTCATCTTGATAAGATCCAACTCCACTGGTGGTTGGATCTTGTCTGTAAAATTCATTTCATATCACAATGTAAATTACGAGTCATCACTGTTTTCCCTCCCAAGAAAGGCAAGGTTAGATTTTCTCTGTTGGAGCTGAGATCCTCTGGATGATAGTTGAAAAAGTTTACATAGCATTTAATTAATCTGAAGATTTTCCTGACTTTATTGTATCTCATTTAAAATATGCCAGATCCACTATTTTTTCCTTTCTTTCCATCAGTTATTTGTCTTAAATCTCCATCATCTACGGACACAGTGGTTTCCTATGACTGCCACAATAAATTACCACGAACTTGGTGTCTTAAGCCAACAGAAATGGAGTCTCTCGGTTCTAGAAGGCAGAAGTTGGATGTCCCAGGGTTGGGGGTTCTAGGGGAGAGTCCTTCCCTCTCTTCCAGATTTTGGAGGCTCTCGGCACCTGGACCCGTGACCACCAGCTGGGATCTCTGCTTCCACCTCTGAAGTCTGTCTCAAGTGTTCTTTCTCTTCCAAGATCACTAGTACTTAGATTTAGGGGTCACCCTCAATCCAGGATTGTTTCATTTTGAGATCCTTAATTATATTTATAAAGGCATAATTTTCAAATAAGGTCACAAACAGGTACTGGGAAGAGTCTCTGTGCGTCCCTGTGTGGGCCACCGCTGAAAGCAGGTTCAGAGGTTTTGAAACCCAAAGTGGCTGATGCCCAAGGGCAGGAGAAGGTGGCTGTCCCAGCTCACACTGAAGCAAATTCACCCCTCCTCTGCCCACCTACCCTGATGAGAGTGACCTTCCTGATTCTGTGCACTGACACTAATAGAAGTATCTCCAGAAACACCCCACAGGAACACCCATGTGTCTTTACCACTGCCAGGGCATCCCTGGGCCCAGTCACATAGAAAATGAAGCATCACAACGGGGCTGGGGATCAGGCATTCCTTTTGGAAGGACACAGGTCAGCCCATCACAAGCAGTTAAAATAGGCTTTGAAGACAAACTTGGGTAAGGTGACCAGTTCTGCCAACTGTCTTATGAAATATCATTATTCCCACAGTCCCTCAGATATAGCATTGTCCTTTTGTAAAATAATGATGTATTGACTGTGTAATGTTATTGGCCTCATAGAAGCTATGTGATACCAGCCATGTGCATCATAATATGTGTGAAGCAATTAGTCCATAATAAATGGAAGTAACTACTATTTCTGATCCCAATGCTTTTAATTTCCACAGAGTTCCTCCTTTTGTTTCATAGAGAAGATGTTACAAAGGAGAAATTTACCTGCATCATATCTGTGCTGCAAAAATATGACATCTAACTTTGTTCTAAATGAAGGGTGTTCCCTCATGGCTTTGCCAAAGGAATAAATGGGAAAAAAAATAGGCAAAAAGTTAGTACTTATTATTTCGTGTCATTATTATTATCAATAATTCCTTAAAACCTTTAGGTTTATAAGGACCAGGATAACACATGCTTTTTTAAACCTCATCATCCTTTAGAGTCGATAATATAGTTAATAAGTGCACAGATATAGTTCTGTGTCTTTCCAGGTTATATGTATTCAAAAATTGATCACCAATCATAGTTTCATCCACCAACTGGTATCCTCTCTTACTTGCCCTGAATCCTGTTATAGCTGTACCTTCCCAGGATATTCTGTGAGTCTTCAGTTAAACTCACCAGAACTCACATTTCGAAAAAAGTCTTACAGGCTTGGAGGAGTCTTTCCCAATACCAGCCAGGTACTTAGTTGACTTTGGAAACATACTGAAGACAGATCGTCTCTAAAAAAATCTTCTGGACCAATCTACTGAAATATTAATTGTGCTAGGATTATTCTATTAATAACTGGGATTTCTTCTTCCCTAATGGTTCTTTCTTTAATCCCTGATTTCTTTTGAGGTATTAATCAGTGTTGGATTTCTGAGTTGATTTTTTGCTCTATTAGTAATATGTCTCTTGGTTGATACCATCTTACATGAATGCAAAATGAAGGCTTCTAGCTTGTGCACACAGGTTCTGCCTTCTTTCTTCAGTGCAAACCTGATAAGCTAAGAGCAAGGGGAATCATCTGCCTCCAGGCACTTTGGTTAAAATTATTCTCCCTTAGTTCTCATATCCATATTATAATTTGCATTTTAATTTTAATGTCTTCAGAACCATGAAAGCATATTTAGGTAAATGTGCTAATTAGATCTTTGTAAACAACCATATGTTATTTTGGTTTATGAAATTTAAAGAGCAATTAAAAACACATATATTTCGCTACTTGTAGGTAAGGATAGGGATGGATTCAATCTGCAAAACCAAAGTGAATCTGAGGAAAGAGCTAAATTAAAGATGTGCTTAATTATCTTGTGGGAGAAACTAAGAGAAGTTCAAAACTTTTCTGCAGAAAACCGTGGGGCCAGCAATGTTACACGTCGAGCCTTGCCATAATTAAATCGAAGTGTTTGAAAATTATATTTCCAACTTCTTTTTAACTAGTGTGCCTACCTTAGAGGAATTTTCAAAAGAAGTCTGCAGTGTGTCTGTTTTTAATGAGAGCATGTCATTCCTTCTCTGGTAACTTATCCGTTTTTATCTGATTCACCGGGAACAGCAGAGTGATGTATGAGTGTGGTAACTTGAGGTGACATCTTTCAGTGTGATCCGTTATCGGAAAGATTTAGGGAAGAAGCTCTCTGAAAAACATAATTAAGGAAACAAATGTTTTCAGAAATATAATAAAGATCTTTTATGGTTTTGGTTCAGGAACATCCATTTCTGTAATATCCTACACGAAGGAAATATTCTGCCAACCGCCTAAATAACACTTGTATTTTGATTTTCTCTGGTTTTACTTTCCCCACAGAGAAACTAACAAACAAATCATAAGCAGAAAATAAGGGGAAAAAAAGTGTCTAAAGTTTTCTGTGAAGTTCATTTCTAAAAGCTATAGAAATCCGTTGAAGAAATAGGGTTCAGTGGACTTAGAGAATGGACAGTATTTTCCAAGTACTTGGCCATATTGTAAATGCACATTTGATTTCTCGCCAATAAAAATAAACACACCCTTTAATTTTCCAATGGTCTCTTGGCTGCTTTGGACCTCTAACTCTTGGTCTAAGAGACCAATAAAATTTTTTTGAGTTCTGCTCTTAAGTACCCCCAGTGTGACACCATTCACCATGCTAAAGGATCCCACTGCTACAAGAAAACCTCTCATGCCTTGCTTTGAAATGATAAGATTTCTTTTAGGTCTACCTTGGCTGATTTCAGAAATCTTTCATATCTAGGCCAGGATCATAATTTTGTAGATACAGAACTCATTAAAAATGAATCCAAAAATGAAAAACAAGGCTGCAAAAAGGACCTGAGTTTAATCAACCAAGATGAAAGCATAAAAGATTCTGAGCTGTGCTGATTCAAGTTGGTCAGTTCTAAATGTCCTGACTTCTTTCTGAATGCCACTCATTAGAGATCTTAAATTTCATCCCCTCCTCTCTTCCTGAAGGTGCCTAACCTGTGTCCTCACTCAAATCCCCTTTTCACTTGCTGTGTGTAATTTCCAACCAGATAGCAATGACAATGTGGACATTATATTAAAACTGCACAGATATAAAAGGGAAAGATGAACAAATCAAACTGCATAGATAAGAGAGACAAATTTTTGTTGGGAAATAAAGGGCTTGAGGTTTGGAGACAAAATTCCCCTCATGGAGTTCCCAGGCACTGGCTGTAGTATTGAACTTATGATTCATTTGATATGGAGACACTACTTTGCATGTCTCCATGAAACTGCGGTGCTTCTCAAGGGCTACGGCTCTCCCCAAGAAGAGCTTTTGTTTCTCTTGGTGTTGGTAGTCTTAATCAAGCCTATCAGGACATCTGGGCAACAGCATTTCAAATGTTCAACACCCATGTGTTGTGGGCACTGACCATTTAGAATGGACTCTGGCCTGAGTGCCAAAGCAACAGCTGGGGTCTCCCAAGAAAAGTGGTATGATGCAAATTGGGAGCTGATTCAGGGCGCTTGGGCAGTGGCTGTTAATCGATTTATAAATATTGTAAATTTTATGGTCATCAAAGGGCACATGTGCTAAATATCAGCCATGGACCATGCAAATCCAAGTATGCAGACATCTAAGAAGTTGTAAGTCATTCTATGTTTTTGCTATTGTCCATCTCCCCCTACCCCCCACTGCTCTCCATATATACATACGTATTGTTCATCTTCCTCTCTTTATATACAGTTTATTATTTGTTATAAATTAAATAATGAGTAACATCTAATATATGGTAATAAATAATATACATCAAGTACATGATAACACAGAAACATATTAGAAACATCTTATTCCCAATTGCCTGGTTTGAAGGCTCCTCTCCTCCAAAACACGTGCTAAAGTGTGGCTGCCGTTGTGGCCCTTGAGAGGTGATCGGGCCATGAGGGTCTCACTATCATGGGCAGGATAACCGTCATTATAAAGGGGTGAATTCAGCCCCCGTTTGCCTCTTGATGTTCCACCTTCTGCCATGTGACAGTGCAGCAAGAAGGCTCTGCCCAGATGCCGGCACCTTGATCTTGTACTTTACAGGCTCCAGAACTGTAAGGAAATAAGCTTCTGTCCATTATAAATTACCCATGTCAGGTGAGCTGGTGGTCCAGCACACACTGGACCAGGCCACAGTGAAATTCTTGTTTTTAATTGAAGAAGCACGCTCACAAGACTAGAGTATAATTAACACACAGTTTATACACGTGTCTAATATATGTTACATAAGGAGATAACATGCAGCGGCAACAACACAAAAACCTTCTATCCTCCTTCTAACCATGATATTGGATACCTCCTCTGAAAAAGGCAAGTAAAACAGATTTTTGGAAACAAAAAATATTTTAAAAGTTCATTAAAAGCAAATGCTATTATGAAATATAAAATTTTAATATACTTTAAGTGGTTATGGGAGTGGAGAAAGCCCTGTAATTGGAATAACTGAATGGAATTTTCTATCTCCTAGGCATAACTTTAGTACATAAACTGTGAAAAAATAATGTATATCAAAGCAATGTAATAAAGGATTACAGTGATGAATTTTATGGGATTAAGCTGCAGTTAATTTCCTTATGCATTTAAGATTAATAAACTGCTAATTAGAATATGCAAATCAGGGTTTCTAAGGCCTAAAAAGTATTTCCTAGCACCTTACCCATAAATCTCATTCAGTAACTATTTTGTTTTATAATTGGGGAATAACAGATTGATGAGCCCATCTAATTATGTGAAATTTACATGTGCATGGTATTTTATAATAAAGGACATGAACTAATGTTAAAGTAGGAGAAAGTATTTGTAACATTCATTATAGTTATTAGTTGCAAGATTTAAGTTTGAAAGTACTTTGGGCCATGAAAACTATAAGCCACACTAAGTACTCTTACTGCACATCTGGAACATAATTGTAAGATGAGACTGAGCCTATCAGCAATTATAGCAATTATTTGGGACTCTTACATTTAGTTCTCTCACAATTCATAGCCAAGCACATATTTCTGGAATATTGCCGATCATCCAGAGACTAAGATAACAACTAATTACCTCATTATGCAAAGTGGGGAAAGGTCCTCATATTTCATACATTCTTAGTTCTACATTATTCACAGAGATGACCATTTATGGCAGGTACCACATAGGAGAAGTCGACTTATTGTAGCCCAGTTAAAGGGTTTTTTTGGGGTGTATTTTTTTAAATAGAGTAAGCCTATCCATGAAGCTTGAGAATAAACAAAAACTTTGAAACTATCATTATGAAAAAAAAATTGTCAAGTGTTTATTTACACATGTGCATATACAAACACACACATGGAGACACCACACACAGACACACACACAGTGAAAGAATTAGAAGGAACTAATGGTCATTCATTCTGCTATACTGTTTACTTTTTTGGCAAGACCTTAGATTGAATAAGACTTAGACCTTTTTGAAAATTAATTGGAGTGTCCAGAATGCCAAGACATTGTCTTTCACTAATATCTAGCATTTACTGAGAGAGTCAAATAACATAAATTACCTTTATACTGTTCACATGTTGTTATGTATTTGTACAACTTTCCCATGAAGGATGAATGTAATTCATTTAATCCAAATTTTAAAAGTTAAAAATAAGTTTTGAGATGTGCAGACTGATTTGTTGTCACACTAGTGAGAAAGGGACAGCACGGGTTTGCAATATATATATGCTTTTATGTCAGGGTCTACCCGAACAACGCATGCAAATAAAACCCAACAAATAAATCCCTAAGAAGATTAAATGTTCAGGCATCTTGGGCACATAATGAAAATATATTACCAAGCAGATATATAAGAACAGATCACACAGATTTGAAATTTTCAAGAAAAAAATTAAAACTATTTTTTCTCAAGCTTCTGTCTGTTGCATCAGTCGTTTTTTCTGACTAGGAGGAAAGTATTCATGAAATCATCTTAGTTTAACTATCAACACATTATTAGAGAGAATTTTAAATTAATTTTTATTTATATATGACAGTGAAATGCATTACAATTCTTATTACACATATAAAGCACAATTTTTCATATCTCTGTTTGTATACAAAGTATATTCACAACAATTCGTGTCTTTATGCCTATACTTTGGATCATAATGACCATCACATTCCACCTTTCCCCTCCAACCCCTCTGCTCTATCTAGAATTTGTCTATTCCTCCCATGCTCCCCCTCCCTACCCCACTATGAATCCTCTTTATATCAGAGGAAAACATTCGGCACTTGGTTTTTGGGGATTGGCTAACTTCACTTAGCACTATCTTCTCTAACTCCATTCATTTACCTGTAAATGCCATGATTTTATTCTCTTTTGATTGCTGGGTAATATTCCATTGTGTATATATGCTATTTTTTTTATCCATTCATCTATTGAAGGGCATCTAGGTTGGTTCCACAGTTTGACTCTTGTGAATTGTGCTGCTATAAACATCGATGTGGCTGTGTCCCTATAGTATGCATCAATAAATATGTAAGTCATATGAATCAATAAGTGGGATGGACTCAAACTAAAAATTTTCTTCTTAGCAAATGAAGCAATCTGTGAGGTGAATAGAGAGCCTACATCTTGGGAACAAATCTTTACCCCTCGCACATCAGATACAGCACTAATCTCTAGGGGATATAAAAAACTCAAAAAGTTAAACATTAAAAAATTAATAATAATAATAATAACCCAATCAATAAATGGGCCAAGGACCTGAACAGACACTTCTCAGAAGATGATATACAATTAATCAACAAATATAGGAAAAAAATGTTCATCATCACCAGCAATTAGAGAAATGCAAATCAAAACTACTCTTAAGATTTCATCTCACTGCAGTCAGAATGGCAGCTATCAAGAATACAAACAACAGTAAGTGCTGGCCAGGATGTGGGGGAAAAGGCACACTCATACACTGCTGGTGGGACTGCAAATTAGTGCAGTCAATATGGAAAGCAGTATAGAGATTTCTTGGAAAATTGGGAATGGAGCCACCATTTGACCCAGCTATCCCACTCCTTGGTCTATACCCAAAGGACTTAAAAACATTAGAGAGAATTTAATGCATATAGTTTTGTTTTGTTTTATTTTATTTTAACAAATTGGGCTGTTTTCTGAAATACTAACAAAAGTTTTCACATTTCACCATAAAATGTCACAAGGGTTGTTCTCAGTTTCTAATGTGCTCATACCAGCCCGAATATTCTAAGGTTTTACATCGATCTTATCAGCATGTACATTTTAGTGTGGAAACATTCAACATCCATTCCTTTACTTAGGGCTTGTCAGTATCCTGTAACTCTGCGGATTTTTAAATCCAAAATAAGAACTTCTCTTAAAATAGTTTTAAGTTAATTAAAGAAACTTTAAATTTTCATAGAAATACCCACTTTCAAATATAAATACTTCTTCATAACCTGAACTTTCAGATCCCTACCAACGTCAAGGAGGCAAATGTGACTCAGTCAGAATTCTTTAATATTGACAAACGCATTACATAAATGCACCTATTCACTTTTCAACTTCAGGTATATTGAAATACCTCTCAACTTATTAAAGTATAATAATTATGGCAGACCATCTGTTATCTAATATCAGGCTATTTATTACTCTAGCAAGTTCTGATGGAATAATCATTGATGGCATGAGAGGGCATGTTTCTAATTATTACCTATATTCAGGAAAGTTATGATGTTCAGTGCATTAGGCAATCTATATTAATTTTAAGAAACACATATGTATTTATATAATTTTTAAGAAATTGGCAATACAAATATTATATATAATCTAGCACTCTACCTAAATATTAGTCATTTATGATAATTTATTGGATAAGAGTTTACTATTGCTTGTTTTCAACAACAAAAAAAAAATACACGTTAACTAGCTATTGATGGGAGGCACTAGAAGTTATAAGTTAGAGTTAACACATCACTGGAACTTCCCAGGGGTACCACGTTAATTCAACTTCACTGTTGCTCATTGAGGATCCTGAGGTTTATGTCTGAGTAGAACATCTCCTTTCCACTTAGCATTTAAAACCAACCAGAATTGCGAACTGAATGAAGAATATCTTTGAAAGACAATCCAGTTTATATTCCTGATGGATCTGAAGTTTCATTTTTTATTTTTGCATCCTATTTCACCTGTCATTGTCACCTCAAAAATCTATTTCCTCCTGCATAAAACCACAGTGCTTGAAACTATAAAAGCAAACACAGCAGCGAGGGAATTTTCCCTTGGGTATGTTTGCTAAATGTTTTAAAACTGAACTGTTTGAACACCAAAATTAGCATTCCTGAGCTGGAGTGCAGACTTCTGTTTTGTTTCACTGTTGGCCTAGAGGAAGCTGGTTTGAGGAAAACCCTTCAATTATAACACTGTGCTGAAAAATCACTTCTATACCCCTCAGTGAGGATGCCTCCCTCTTTCTTATGACTGGAAGCATTTCCAGAAGAAATGGAGTGGACTTCACTTTCTTCAGAAGTGTAATCCAAAATGCTGAGGGAATTAGAAACATGTGCTGCCCCCGAGACTTTCTAGATAGTCATTATGAACTAATTAAAATAAGTTTCAGAACCAAACAATGTTTACTTCATTCACTCATTCATTCATTCAGAGGTTAGCATATTACTTCTTTATTCTGTGTCCGGCACATTCTTAGCATATCAGATAAAGAAGTGAACAAAACAGATTAAAAATTACTGCCTGATGAAGCTTCTATTTTCTAAGAGGAACAAACATACATGACTATAAAGCATGGTATATTGCAATATGGTTGGAGAAAAATGAAAAACAAAGCAAAAACAGGATGAAGTTTGAACAAAATGGGTTGCGGATGAGAGTACAAAATATAAAGCTCTCTGGTAAAAGGTTGTTCCAGGTCCTAGAACTAGCAGATATCAAGGCCCTGATGTTGGAACAAACCTGGAAAGACTAAGATCCCTGTGGCCGGGGTCCAGAGAGCCAGAGGAATGCTTGAGTGACCAGGAAGGGAGGGGGTGGACTCACTGGGCCCAGTGGAGAATTAAAAGGGCTTTGGCTTTAAGTGAGTTGGCATTTGAGCAGAGTCACCAAGCATTCTGTTTAACAATTGTGTTAGGTTCACCTCGGTTCCTCCATACGGACAGCAAGAAGCAGGGTCATCGGAGTAGTCCAGGAGGAGATGATGGTGGACCAGATGATAGTGACATAGGTGGCTTGAACTGGACAGCTTCCGGAACACTCTGATGTCAGAGCCAATTGGTTATTGCATGGCTGGGATGCAAATGTGAGAGAAAGGGTGTGTTGATGGTAACTTGAAGGTGTTCAGCTTGAGCAAGTCAGAGCTGGCACTCACTAAGGCGTAGAAGTCAGTGAAGGTAAAGATGATCTGAGGGGAAATGTCGGGAGTCAATTTACACACATTGAATTGGAGATATGAAATCAGTATCCAAGTGAAGTCATTGGGTAGGCAACTGCATATCTAAATCTGGATTTCAGAGAAGAGATCTAGACTAGAGAGAGAGATTTGATCATTTTCGGTGTAGAATTGACATTTACATCCATAGGTCCAAATAAGATCACCAAGAGAGTCAAGTAAATAGAGAAGGGGAGATGTTCCAAGACAGAGTCCTGAGATATCCGAGTTAGAGTTCATGGAGTTGAGAAAGAACCACCAGCTAAATGGGATATTTCAAAATAGTTCAAAATTCCCCAGAAAGAGAACGGATTCTTCTGTTGGAATTGCACAATGAAACTGGGAAAGTATTGGATTGTAAAAAACACCAGGAGGAGAGGAATCAGTGGAGTTTTGTTTAACAGGAAAACCAGGAGAAAAGCTAGAGAGAAAGGAGTAAAAAAAAAAAAAAAAACAACTATTTTTACAACTCAAAGTTGGGTAAGAGAGCAGTATTTGCTGAAATGAATTAGCAGAGAGAAAAGTAAAATGACGGTGTGTGAAAAGAAGAATTCCCAGAGAATTGACCTTGACTGTGCAAGAAGTTATGGAATATAGTGCACACGAGAATGCACTGCCTTTTGCAAAAGCGAGGAGAGTTGATCAAAAGTGACAGAGAGTCCACGGGCTCATGCGCAGGTCAGCAAGTAGATGTCGTGATGAAAGCTTTGAATATCCCTCCTGATTCTTTTTATTTTCTTAGTGAAGCAAGAAGTTGAAATGGGAAAGTACAGACGTTTCAGAAGGGAAAACCATACAATAGTCATCGAGGAGAGAGGGAGCATGTGGACTCCATAGAGTAGGGTAGCCAGTGGCAGATGTGGCACCTGCAGGCTGGTGGTCATCGTGACCTTTCTTCATGGGGTAGCTGGCTGTTAAAGAACCGTAAGTGGCAGAGGGAGGGATTTATCCATTGCATGGGAATTCTCCAACTAGATACAGAAGGTAACGAAGGAGCAATGGAGGGTTCACAAATGAGTGCAGTCATAAGTTAAGAAGAGGACACAGGGCAGGAGGCAGCCTGTGCCAGGATCAGTGCAGGGGCTGTGACCGCTGATGCTGATGTGGTAGGAAAGCAAGCGCTCAAGCTCACTCCTCTGTCCTGTGTGTGCAAATGTCCAACAATACCGCACCTCCCATCCTCCACTGACGATCGTCACCCGTTTGTGCTACACCTCATTTTGTAAGGAGGGTACTCTAGTGTCGGGGAATCTTGATAATTATAAATGCTCTCCGTGTCGTCCGTGCTGACTGGAGCCATGCTTCCCTGAAGGAGGAATGTGCTCAGTTGTCATGGGGAGTAGAGCTGCGTAATATGCTCCCTGCCCTGGTCCTCAAAATATTTTCTCTGCCTCTCTCCCTTTAAATATTTTGCTTTTCTGTTTCAAAAATCTCTTCTTGCCATTGACCTGTGACAATTCCTAGGAGGGCTGTCTTTAAGGGCAGATCTTGCCAGAGATAAGGAAGAGAAATTGTGGAAGAGAGACTAATAAAAAACTGGAACATCTATACAGCAAGGCAGAGATCTAATTTAAAAAATTTAAAAAGCTACAAAAGCCAAACATAGAAAAAAAAATAATATAAAATCAAAACCCCGAAAGCCAGATAAACGCCTTAAAGAGTCCTTCTGCCAATGGAAGGACTCACGCTTGCCTAGTCTCACATTTTCTTCTGTTCTCTCTCCCACACTTCAGCTCAGGCTCACAAGCCTGCTTCCTCCCTCGTGTGACAGACAGCTCAATCCCCAGCACAGCCTGCCGGGTCCCCGACCACAGCTGATCAGTGCCGCGTGCTGCTGAGATTCTGCTTCCTGGCAGCGGCTTCTCCTTTCACAATATTTTTCCCCTGAAGAGGAGAATGGAAGAGCGTGGGATAAAAACGTTAGCCTAAGACAGGGTGTAAAGGACGCAGCAAGCCAGCACAGGCTGGGCAGGAGCTCCAGGGAATGATGGAGACCCTGTGGGCTTCTGTGGCTGTCCCCTGCTTCAGAGAAGAGGGCAGATTAGACAGGAAGCCACCTCCAGAGAATTGTGTGAATGGCTGTGTGTCCTAGAAGCTGCTCAGTTACAACTCCTCCAGAAGAAAGCCTGTGTCACCCATCTTGCCCAAATAATACTCATTCCTGAATTCCCTGCTATACGCATCTTAGTATTTTGAGGTTTTAGTGATTTTCATAACAAAATACCATCAAGGGGCAAAAAATAAAAAAACTGAAAATGTCATAAGAAACACTCATTCCTTTCATTCAATTAAATTCTCATCACAGACTGCATAATTCCACGTTTCTGGATCTTATTAGAACTTTGGGGGAAAGACAGAACTTAAATGAAAAATTATTCTTTTTTTAAAATTGATTTTTATTTTTTAAATACATGACAGCAGAATGTATCATAATTGTGTTTTCAAAACCTAGAATATCAATTTTTTTTTTCTTTCATGGATTGTGCCTAGATGTTGTATCTAAAAGTCATGGCCAACCCCAAAGTCATCTGATTTTTCTCCTACGTTACTTCAAGGAATTTTGTAGTTTCATATTCCACATTTAGGTCTGTGGTTTGTTTTGAATTAACTTTTGTAAGGTGTGTGTTTGGATTCTTCTTCATTTTTTCTTTTTCTTTCTCTCTCTCTTTTTTTTTTTTTTTTAACAGGTGGGTGTGCTGTGGTTCCAGCACCATTTACTGAAAGCCTGCCTTCTCCTCAATCAGCTGTCCTTTCACACCTGTGTTCCTAGGCTCTCTATTCTGTCCCACTGGCCCACTGTATTTTCTTTTTGCCAGGACCATGCTGTCCTCATGAGTGTAGCTTTAGAGTGGTTTGGAACTTGGGCAGTGTCAGGCCTCCAGTATTGATCTTCTTCCTCAACATCGGGTTGGCTATTCTGGGTCTTTCCTCTCCATATAACCTTTAGTTTACAAAGTGGTTTGCTTAGATTTTGATTGGGATTGCATTAAATCTTCAGATAAAGTGGATGAACATCTAGGCAATATTAAGTCTCTAGGGCTGGGGTTGTAAGCTTAGTGGTAGAGTTCTCACCTTGCACATGTGAGGACTGAGTTCCATCCTCAGCACCATGTAAAAGTAAATAAATAAAAAGAAAGGTATTTTAAAAAATATTGTCTCTGTCTAAGAATATATGACATGTCTCTACTTTGATTTCTTTCATTAGAGTTTAGTAATTTTCCTTTTGTGGATCTTGTATGTATTTTGCTAGATTTATTCCCAGGTGAATCATTTTGGGGGATACACATATAAATGGATTGTGTATTTAATTTTAAGTCCCTCTTGCTCATTGCTGATATATGCAAAAGTGATTTACTTTTGTATATCATTCTTGGATCTTGCAAACTCACTGAAATTGCTATTATTTCTAGGATGTTTTTGTTGATTCTTTTGGATTTTCTACATACATGATCATTTCATCTACAAACAAAAGCAATGCTTTCTTTGATTTCCTTTTCTTATTATAGGATTTCCAGTCTGATGGTGAAGAACAGTAGCAAGAGGGGTGTCCTTGCCATGTTTTCAGTACATGCTGCATTTTGTCAAATGCTTTCTTATGTATCTTTTTTTGATCATGTGATTTTTCTTCCTTAGCTTAATGATGCGATTGATGATGTTAATTGTAATAAAAGCCTTGCACACCTAGCATTAATCCTATTTGCCTTTGTGTGTAATTCTTTTTAAACATTTTTAGAGTCAATGTGGCAATATTTTGTTGAAGATTTTTGCATCTATATAAATGACATATATTCACCTAGAGTTTCTTATTCTTGCAATGTCTTTACCTAGTTTTGGTATTAGGGTTACATTAGCCTCATAGAATGGCCTTTTCCCACTGTTTCTACCTCTGAAGGAAATACCAGAGTATTGGTATAATTTCTTCTCTAGATGCTTAATGGAAATCACTAGTGTAGCTGATCTTGATCTGTTGCTTTCTGTGTTGGGAGGTGATTTATTATTGATTCAATTTCTATAATAGAATTAGAATAATTCAGATTATCTATTTCTATGTGAGTTTTGGCAGAGTGTATTTTTCATGGAATTGGCTCATTTCATCCAGGTTGTCAATTTTGTGGGTTTAGAGTTGTTCTGAGTATTCCTTTGCTGTTCTTTTAATGTCTGTAGTAAAGGCCTCCGTTTCATTTCTGACATTAGTAATTGATTCTTCTCTCTTATTTATCCTTAATTATGTCAGCTAGAGTTTTATCAAGGTTACTGATCTTTTCAAAGAACCGGCTTTGGTTTCATTGATTTTCTCTACGACCACATTTGTTCCTCTTTTTGATTTGCTACCCTTGTTCTTTGTTCCGATTTTTTGTCTTATGCACTTTTTCTGCCCTTTCTCATTTTGAAGGAGTATTTTATGGGATTATATTTTCTCTCTTTTCTTAGCATATCAATACTTCTTATTTTAAAAAACTTTTTAGTGGTTGCTCTAGAGTTTGCCATCTACATTTAAAACTAATCTAAATCTGCTTTCAAATAACACTACACCATTTCATATGCAGTGCAAGTAGCTTATAATAACAAAATGTTACTAATTCCTTCCCATTCTTTGTGTTATTGTTAGATTGCTGTTTGGGGTCTAGTATAATGACTGAGAATTTTCCCTAATGATGTGTTTGGAAGTGTATTGTCATATCCAATGCTCGGAAAATTCTTTCCTCAGTCATGTCCAGTCTACAAGGAGATGCCATCAAAGATGTTCTTCATTTCTGTTGCAGGTTTTTTGATGCCTAGCATTTCTTTTTGATGATTCCTTAGAATCTTTCTTTGTTTACATTTTCCAGCTATTCGTAAT